CACAAACAGTGTGAGTGTATACACCTCACAAAGACACAAACAGTGTGAGTGTATACACCTCACAAAGACACAAACAGTGTGAGTGTATGTTGTGATATTGTAGGTCAGTTAGCTGTGGATCATCTGAAACTAGTTTGATTCTATAATCAGCTGTAAATATAAACAACTCATACAGGTTTTTCTAAAGGTTTTATCAAATAGCAAACACACATTTGCAGGTATGTATTAAACAAATAACAGTGCGTATTTAATGAAATGTAGTAATCTTTATAATACCGTTGGCCCAAATCGTATTGTGCTCAATTAATCATCAGAAAAACATTGAATCGATTATTTTTGGCACTTGATAATTAATTTGATTAATGGCACCAGGGGAGATGTCTTCAGTCAGTCTGTTCGGTGCTCCTCTCCACTTCAAATATGATGAACATTTTAAAAAAAGGTCTGTAATTTATTTATCTATCAACACAATTTAACATTTGATGTACAGTTGACACAATTTGGAACAGAGGAGCAAATCTTTCCCACCAAATTGGTCATTTGACCAGGACATAAGGGTGTCCAGGGCATTAATCATCAAATTAATTGTTATCAGCTAAATACCACAATTAATCATGATTAATCTGTCTGCCAGTATCGCCCAACCCTACTTTAGAGGTACCTCAGGGGTGATGTTTAGGTCACAGTCTGCTGCAGGATCGTTGAGTTTTCTGTTGTTGGTGTTGTCTTTCCCTCGACGTGTTGTTACAAACATGTCAACGTTACAAACATCCTGAGCAGTTTCCTCACACACCTGGTTTTTATCCTCCTCTTCAACAGGATCCTGGTCCTGAAATGACAAAACAACAGCTAAATAAACCCAATCAGACACAGTTTCAACACAATCCTGATCAGCAGCAGGTGCGTTACCTGCAGGTCCTTCAGCTTCTCCTGATCGTAGTGATGTTTTATCGCTTTCAGGAGTTTATCAGCCTGAAAGGAACCGAGAAGATGTGAAAATAAACATCCCTGCATGGATTAAATTAAATATGCTACATCTGGACAAATGTGATGGATAAGATCCAAAGAAATGGATTTTTAAACATGTTCAAGCATGTATTTTTGAATGCTTTTTGACTTCTTGTTTGTGGAAAAATCGTTTTTATAAGATAGTTATCAAGATTCAAGTTTATTTCTATATGTCCAGGTCCCAACCCACTGTCTCAGGACACTGTGCATAAAGAAGTTAGGAGATTTATCATTATTATTATTGATTTTCTTGTTGTGCTCATTAAAAGGATGAATGTTTGTTAGTTGCACAGTTTAAGTTGGTATTTGAAGCAGTTGTTTGTGCTGATGAATGAATAAACATTTAGCACCAGTCTGGTGTTTAAAACCGTTTTCTTACCTTCCCGTTTGCTTTCAGGCCCAGCTCCTTGGCGAGGCTTCTCAGCTCAGAGTATTTCATCGAGTCCAGGTCCATGTTGATGTAATTATTAATAATAATAATAATAATAATAATAATAATGATCCGCTTCAGCAGCGCGAGGAGAAGATCCTTCAGTCTGTTTCATCAGACAGCGCCTGACCGTTAAAACTCCTCCCTCCGGTTCAAACACAGCACAGGGAGCCCTTTGATTGGCTCTGGCTTTTGACCGGATATGCCTTTTAGCCAATCGAATGGATTCCAGAGCGTCTCGAGGAGGCGGGGTCAGATCCAGCGGGTGGGCTTGTTTTATGACCTCGTGCCTGCTGTAAACACGGGTGTAAACAACACAAAGTCCTGTATAAAGCCAGTGAGTGGGCTGCATGTGTGATGTGTGGTATTTTTATGTCTCTGTTGTGTACTGCCTGTTGTGTACTGCTATGATCTGCGACATAAAATCAGACATTTTATGGGATGAGCCCTCCTCCCGGGAGGAAGCTCCTCCTGTCCTCGGTCCTCTGCCCTGGTCAACCCCCGGCTGATTCAAAACAAGCGCACCCAACCCTTTGTTTTTAACCGATGAAACGAGCATGGTTTTATTATATTTTATTTTTAGCATGGCAGTACATTAATTACATTAATTACATTAGTTACATTAATTACATTAGTTACATTAAATACATTAAATACATTAAATACATTAGTTACATTAAATACATTAATTACATTAATTACATTAAATACATTAAATACATTAAATACA